TGCCCTCCGCGATTATGTCATCGCGGTAGGGTCGTGTTTTTCCTTAGCGCTTCAAACGGCACGGATTTGCCCTCCGCGATTATGTCATCGCGGTAGGGTCGTGTTTTTCCTTAGCGCTTCAAACGGCACGGATTTGCCCTCCGCGATTATGTCATCGCGGTAGGGTCGTGTTTTTCCTTAGCGCTTCAAACGGCACGGATTTGCCCTCCGCACTTATGTCGGTGCGGATAAGGGCTTGCTTTGTGGTTTTGTGGTGGAACCAAAGGTGAGGAAACCAGAATGGGGTATCTGACACTGCAGAAGAACAGAAAGCAACTGGAAGGTAGGAAACCAGAGCAGAACATCTAGAGACAGCAGCAAACTGGAAGCAACTGGAACGCAGCAAGCCTGAGCAGGATGTCTGAAGACAGCAGCAGAATTGAGAAGAGCTTCTGGTGAAACAACCTATTATAAGCCAAATTATTCTTTTTTTCCTTGGTTGTAGGGCTCCATGCCCCCTCTACCTCTCTCCACATGCCCATGGATAAATCTGTAGGTCATGAAAGATCAGGTCCACAAGTGAAGGTCTAATTGAACTGCTTCGTTGCAACTCATACTCGTGCATAGGGACATTCTCAACTAACGGTTAGCACCTGCATGGAGTTAGATAAGGATCAGTAGAATTCAAGAGAGGTTGGACTTAATTTGTTTGCGGCTGCGTAGAGATTCTAGGCTGACCCCTCTTTTAACTCCACCCCAGGTTATGCCACTTATCCTCCACCCCTGGCTTATGCCACTTATCCTACAGTAGGTACAGTAGTGAAATTCAAATTTTTTACTACCGGTTCTGTGGGTGTGACTTGGTGGGCATGGTAGGGAAGAATACTGCAAAATCCCCATTACCTCCCATTCCTGGGGGAAGGATATTGCAAAATCTCCATTCCCTCCCAACTCCAGGGGAAGGTTACTGCAAAATCCACATTCTCTCCTGATCAGCTGGGACTCAGGAGGCAGAGAATAGATGGGGGCAGGGCCAATCAGAGGTGGTATCAAAATTTCCGCTACCAGTTCTCCAGAACCTGTCCGAACCTGCTGAATTTCACCTCTGGTACAGACCAACCTAAAGGCAACTTTCCCACACATATCCCTCCTGTATCTTTTGGGGAGGGATTTAAATGGCTAGTTCCAGCCAGTATCCAAAGTGATACTGTGATCCTACTTCTTCCAGGCTTGTCATTAGAGTCATAAGTCAAGGCATATTTTGTTGTCATATAACTCCTTGTGTAGGTGTGGCNCTGCAATCTTGGGTTGCAGTATGGTGTCGTTGATGGTTTCTCGATTAGGCTATTGATTCTTTCCTGACTATCCTGTTTCTTCCTTGAATATCTGGATGTTGGGTACTAGAAAAGTTGAGTCCTAGAGCAAATGGGCTATGTTGCTCCCATTTCTTGAATCTTTCACTTGTCTGTTTAGAGTCAGAACTAAACTAAAGAAGAGATGTGAAATAAAAGGTATAACTAAGGGCAGGCAAGAGACTCTATGAATGGGAGCGACCGCTTTAAGTTGCCTGTTTGCATAGATTAATAAACACCGTAGTGTGGCATAGTAAATATTCTTGATCCATATAGTATCTATACCTGAAGCAGCAATTCTGGTTATCTTAGGAAAGCCATTATTTTATAACTTCAATAATCTAAGGATAGCCACACTTGTTTAGCTTACAAGGTTCTTGTATATATTGCCTTAGAATATTCTAAAATAGTATGCGATCATCTCATTACCTGGATCTGAAGAGTAAATTCTCCAAAGGTGGCCAACCACTTAGAATGGACTTCAACGTGTCTTGGATTTCTGACTCGGAAGACTTTTATCTCTGCTGCTGTGTTGCCTCCAACCCTGGGAATTTTAATCCTGCCCAAGCATCAACCCACAGTCTCGTGAGGTCAGACTTGCATAAATTTCCTTATTACTTCTTTTTTGCTCACCCACTTTCTCTTCTTTTGGTGGCCTCAGAAGCAAAGATATAGTTAAGATTGTACTGGTTAAGATATTCCTTATCGTGATCTAACATTTGCATCAAAGACTCAGTGGGAGAACTGAAACGAGGTACATAGTATTTCTTTCAATTCAGTGTAGGAGTTCTGAGGAACATATCACGGCCTTATTATAATGCTGGCAATTGATTTTCTTCAGTCATTAACTGATTGTTCCTTAGATTTCCCCTGGATAGAAGTTTTTTTTTTAATGCAGGTGTGCCTTAGTAGTTAAATAAAAGTGTACAGCAATAATTCACTGAAAAGTGGATAGTTTCTGCCTTTGAAGTTTGAATATCAATAGTAATTAAAAAAAAAAACAATCAAGAAATATGTTGCAGACCAATGCTTGGTAGGTTAACAATAAAAGCTTTGGAAAAGCTAAGAATTTTGCAAGCAATGCCAGCTCTCTGAAGTAGACCAGAAAACTGACTTCACAGAAAGAATGGAACTGTATTTTATTGAAATAGGCTACCTTTGCAGAATTTTGTATCACCCCTATGTTCATTCGCCCCCAATGGATTGCAGATTTCAATCTACTTTATGGCAATTATTTTATAGGCTCTTGGCATGATATCATTGTCTAGGTTCCATGAGGAAATGTTCAGATGGACTCAGGACCTATTTTCGTAGTAATAAATGGAAATGTAGAGAAACATGCTCTTCGGTAAAGCCCTTCACCCACGTGAATTAATTTTTAAAAGAAATGTGGAGAAATTGAAGGAAGTATTACGGTATATCTATTATCTGATGCTGTTACAGAATACTACTTGGCATTTTTCATAATTGCCATCTGTACTGATTAGTGCGCTGGCATTGAATTCAAAGGATGCACAGCAGATAAATATTTTTAAAATGCTATATTAAGAGATTGAAATCAAAAAGCCCACAGGCTTATTTCCCTGTTCTGCCCAATCGATTTTAAATCAGAATTTAAACCCAGATGTTCTATTGGAAGGGTGTCAAACTCGACTTCATTGAGGGCCGCATCAGGGTTGTGTTTGACCTCGTGGGGGGAGGGTGGGTGCAGCCAGGGTGGGCATGACGTCACTCATTTCGGGGGGGTGTCCCAAGTGCTCTGCCAGAGAAAAAAGGCTCCCGAACTCCATTTTCAGCTGCGACAGCCTCCTGCAACCCTCGGCCAGCAAAAATGGAGACCGGGAGGGCTGCTGGTAGAGGCACCATGGGCCAGTCCTTTGCTGTTTCCAGGGCAGTCCTGTGGGCCAGATCTAAGCACCCCGTAGGCCAGATCCGGCCCCTGGGCCTTGAGTGTGACACCCCTGTTCTATTGCATAGAACTTCTGGTCCATTCTGGTTCCAGGTAAATGAGCACAGGATGGCTGTTTAAAGTGGAAGTAGAATATATTTGACAGCAAGACTATCAAAGAGTTCTGTTCTCAAAGGCAGCCATGTTTAAACAGTTTTGGAAGTATTTATACAGAAATCTAAGACTTTGTGGGCATGATTTGCCTTGAGGGTTTGCACTGAGTCTGGGAGGCAATGCCATCTTCGAGACAATCTTTATATATTTTGAATATGTTGTTGTCAGCCATGAGTGATGGGTTCAGATCAGGGGTGAAATCCAGCAGGCTCTGACAGGTTCTGGAGAACCGGTAGTGGAAATTTTGAGTANCCTCCCTCTCTCTCTGCAACTCGGCAAAACAAAAACACTGGTGGTGATGGAGGAGTTCAGCTTTGATCTTAGTTGGGCCCTTACATGCAGAAAGTCTGGAGAACTCCCTCAGATAAGTATCGGCCTCTTACTCTGCCCTTTTAGAGGATGACCTCATTGTCCTCAACACTATCGTGATGCTCAACACTGTGGTGGTCTTCAGAGCTGTGCTGACTCTCGGCGCTTTCCACAGTTTGGTTGCTGGCGTCATCGGGGTTGCTGTCTAACTGTTGGGGTTCCTCACTGTGATCTTTTTTCTGCTCTCTGCTTTCAGTGCTTTCAAGGGAAAGGGAAGCTTTGCTGTGGTCGCTGCTGTCCTCCACACTCTCGGGTTTCTCTGGGCTGTGGTCCTCTAGACTTATGTCATGAGATGCGCTGTGGACTTCATTGCTATCCGTCAGGTCACTTTTATCATCACTTTCGTGGCTCTCCAGAGAACGGGCCTTAGAATCTTCGTGGCTCTCGTCATCTGGGGTGCTGTCCACTTCATCGGACACACTTTGGGAATCAAACTGAAAAAGTCCACAAGAGAAACCATCAAAGGCCGCTCCACTCTCATGAGGAGTCGCTACAATGCCGACAATATAAGATCCACAACGATTTTCCTTTCTTACACAAGGCTGGAGGGTAGTATTTTCAGAAGCTCTAACGCAAGGGTGTAGGGAACTATGGCCCTTTTTATGACCTGTGGACTTCAACTCCCAGAATTCCTGAGCTAGCATGGAATTACCCTGTTTCCCTGAAAACTAGACCTCCCCAGATAATGAGTCCAATCGGGCTTTTGAGCGCATGTGCTAAAATAAGCCCTCCACTGAAAATAAGCCCTCCCTGAAAGTATTGCAACGCAGCAGCAGCCATGAGGTGATCATGCTCACTGCCTCCTGCACCTCAAAAATAATAAGACTTCCCCAGAATAAGACCCAGTGCTTATTCAGGGGTCAAAAGAAAATAAGACACTGTCTTATTTTCGGGAAAACACAGTATTAGATCAATATGAGTTATTTGTATCCTGCTTTTTGTATTTTAAAAAATAACTCAGGGTGGCAAACTTATCCAGTGCATCTTTCTCCTCGTATTTTCCCCACAACAACTCCTCTGTGAGGTGGGTTGGGCTGAGAAAGAGTGACTTTCATGGCTAAGGCGGAATGAGAACTCTCAGTCTCTAGTTTTCCAGCCTTAACTGTTAGACCAAATTAGCTCTGGTACCACACTTTTCTACAAAGAATATCCCTGGTGTGATACAAATAAAGTGCAAAATGGATGAGAAAGTACAAAGAAGACTTAATAATACACTGCCTCAGATATGTACAATTTTAATTTCAACAACCTGTACTATTATTTTTAATTTTGTTGAAATTAAAAATAACTGGTTTTTGTTGAAACCAGTTCATCTTTTGTGAGAACGCTTTTGCGTTTTTTCATGAGCTGAAGCTTAAGTTTTCTTAATATGAGAAGTGGTTACTGAACATAAATTGGCTACTCCTGTCCTTTTACACCAGTGACAATTCCCCTGTTTCTCTAAAAGAATTACATTGGTGTAAAACATAAAGTAACAAAACAATTTCCACATAAACATTTTATGGCCACAACATTTAGCCTACAACTAAAAAAACCCAGAAAATGTACTGCAAATGTTATTAAAAATATCTAAGTGTCTGGCATGTAGATGTTAAAAAAAATGAAAGCAAAGCATGTTTATGTCAACAAATTATTAAAGCAAGGAAATGCTGAATTTCTTGTTTCTTCCACCCCAGGCTTTGCAATATTTATTTTGTAGGACTTTTATAGCATTAATGCAGTAGGTTTTTCTAAACCAATGAATTTGTTCAAAACATGCTTCCTCTTGCTAGTTCTCAGATACAATATAATATTTATTTACAGGGAGTTTCTTCGCAGCAACCACAAAAAGTGTTGTCCAAGTGTGCAACATTTGCACATCCATCTATCAAAAACTGTTGTGACAAGTGGCATTTTAATGGTGGCCCTGCCAATCACCATAAGATGGGGAAGGAAGATGAATTGGAGGAGGAATTGGCATGACATTTTAAAGTCAACCAACCACCTCCGACATTATTTTCCATGATTAACCAGAGCTACCAAACATTGGCAGCTGCAGTTCAAAATCCTCCAGGCAAAAATATCATGTGTGTGAATCAGTGGTGGGTTTCAATTTTTTTTAGAACCTCTTCTGTAGGTGTGGCCTGTTTTGTGGGAGTGGCTTGCCAGCCATGTGACTGGGTGGGTGTGGCCAACTTGTAAAATGTGGTGAAATTCACTTAACAACACACTTGCTTAGCAACCAAAATGTTGGCTCAGAAACTCTGGCATTTGANCTGCACGCCTCGTTTTTTGCAAAAAAAAAAAAAAAGGGCATGCAGCACTTTGGGAAGGTTGTACAGTGCTCCTGGAGGTTGGGTGGGGGGCAAAAGCGGCCCATTGTTTGCTCATGTTTGCCCTCCCCAGCCCCCAGGAGCACTTTGCAAGCCTCCCAAACCCTCTGCAGGTCCATTTTGGTGAAGGGGGCGCAGTTTCAGGAGCCCAAAAATGCTGTATTCATGTATAAGACGCACCCAGATTTTCACACTCTTTTTTGAGGGAAAAAGGTGCATCTTATACTCCGAAAAATACAGTAACCAAAAATGGTTGAATATATAACTGGTTGGGTTTACACCAAATGGCTCCGTTTTTTGTAATAACCAGGTCAGAGATTCCTTAAGACTTGCCAGCTCTTACATCAGTTATGCAGAACAATAGACCAAATCACAGGTTTTGAGAAATTATATCTGATCAGAGAGGCTATTGAACAAACTGGTATTAATTACCGTGGCCCCCAATTCTTTGGGCACCAGGGACTGGTTCTGTGGAGAGAGCTTTGTCCATGGACTGGAGAGACTGTGGCTTCGTGTGCTGCCGGCATCCTATGGATGGGGCTTCACTTGTGTGTGCGGCCTGGTTTTTGGCATGCCCTGGACCAGTCCACGGACTGGCGTTGGGGACCTCCGCTTTACAGGCCGCCTCCAAGATACAGCCTTTAGCGACTGTTAGAAGCTACTAGCACTAAATAAAGTGACTCCTGACTGGTCCTTATAACTATAATCATTGCAAGATCCCCATAGTCACGTGATCAAAATCTGGGCACTTGGCAACCAGCATGTATTTACAATAGTTGCCAGCGTCCAGGGGTTCAGGGGTGGGCTGCTGGGGGTTTGCAGGGGTTCGGGAGAACCTCTAGCTAAGATTCTGTGCAGTTTGGAGAATCCCCAAATCCCACTCCTGGCTGGCCCCGCCCACCCTGCCCCTCTCCTCTCAGGAGTCACCACGTGGCCCATTTTGGATACACGGAAGTGCAAAGTGCACATGGAGGCTCGGAGAAGGTGAAAAACAGGCTTACTGGAAGCTCCGGAAGGCCGGAAACGGGTCAGTTTCCAGCCTCCAGAGGGCCTCCGGAGCCTGAAGAGGCGGTTTTCACCCTTCTGAAGGCTCGAACAATAGCCTCTGGAGCCCAGAGAGGGCAAAATGACCCCCCCCCCGGTGGTGCAGGAGCCTGACTAGGTCACGGCTACCATGGCCACGCCCGCCCAGCAATGGGGCAGAGAACCCTTTGCTAAAACTTTTGAAGCCCACCCCTGGGTTTTGTGATTGCCCCTTTGCCACCTTTCCAACCAGCTGGCCACACGATTCATTTCATTTAACAGCTGGGGTTATTTGTTTAAAACAGTCATAAAATCAGGCGTGACTCATTTAATGACTTCTTTGCTTATCGACAGAAATTCTGGTCCCAATTGTGGTTATAAGTCCACAACTACCTGTATTGTCCCGATAACTTTAAAAGTACTCTCTTCAGCCACTAGAGGTCGCCCATAAGACTAACCCAAGAGCCCATCAAGACCACTACACAAAAAGGCCTAAAGTTTTGTCACTTTATTTAACTCACAACTGTCAACAAAATATACACTGCAATATTAAACATTTCAGAAGTACAGCATTGTAAGATATGCAAAAATCAGCGGGAATGTAAAACTAGATTTTTTC